CAATAAATTCAAAAAGAAAAATCTTGAATTAGAGGATTTGGTTTAAATTTAAGATGGTCATTTTTATTTTAGAGAAATTGAATAGAAATGTTGAAAGCTGCTGAGTTTAACAAAGAAAAACCAAAAAATAAACCTGCAATTAAAAGACGTCTTTGCTAAAAGATCTTCTAAAAGCAATAAACCTGTGAGTTCACCTGAATTAAAGATTAACCCTCCCAAAGATTTTATTTGAAGCTTAAGTGATTGTGACACATGGGCAATGCCATGTGTGGAGAGGGGAAAATGGTGAGGTAATACTATATAACTACTAAATTCTTACATAAACAATGTTTTATGAACTTTTGAGTTAAATACTGTTGGATGATTGATGCTTTTTCTAAATGGGTTGAAATAGTTCCAGCAAAGCATGCAGATGCTTTGACGGTAGCTAAGGCTATTTGTAAAACTATTATCCCAACACATGGTTTTCCAGACTGTTTATAGTGACAATGGACCACATTTTGTAAACCAAGTGACACAAAACATGGCTACTCACTTGGGAATGACATTGAAAAACCACTGTGCCTATCGCCCTCAGAGTGCAGGGCTGGTGGAAAGAACAAATGGTACTGTGAAAAGCAGATTTAGAAAATGCATGGCAGACACTGGCTGATCCTGGCCAGAATGTTTAGATTTGGTGAAACTCTATATGAGAATCACCACCACAGCAAATGGTCTAACACCTTTTGAAATAATTCATGGGAGAGCTTACAGATTGCCTCTGTTTGCTCCAGACTTACAGAAAGCTGATGAAGAACAGACATTAGCAGATTATATGATCAGGACTCTTAAACTGAAGGAAGTATCCAGAGCAAATTTACTGCCTTCTGATTCTCTCCCTCTGCAGGAGGCAGCTCCCATCGAGCCAGGTGACTGGGTCTACATAAAGGTCAAACGAAAGAACTGGGTGAGTCCACGGTGGGAAGGACCGTTCCAAGTGCTGATGACCACACCAACAGCTGTAAAAATTGCTGAAAGATCCAGCTGGATACATCTCAGTCACTGCGAGCTGCAGAGAGTTGGACCCCTAATCCGGAGTAGAAAGGAAGTTCCGGGCTGCAAAGGGGTTCCATTTTTTAGGGTGGTTCGTCTCAAACCCGGTGAAGAAACGCTTAAGATTCTCACTCTTTAGTTTGGGGGTTCTGACATCTCTGCGCACCGAGCAGCAATGGGGACTCCATATGCCAGATGGATCTTCTACTGCGCTGTGACTGCAGCATGTCTGATGTTTGGAGGAGGAAGTGACCTCACTTTCCGCCCACATGACTACAGCACCAACAAAGTTTACACCTACTGCGAAATTACACCGGATTGCATCAGCTGCATTGCCTGCAGGGGTCAGAGGGCGACTCCAGGCTGCAGAGTCTGGAAGGACAACCCAGACTGCAACAACTTGTTTCAGGAGAGGAGTTTCAACATCACACATCGGACGACAGGAGACAACACTGTGCAGCGCCATAGTGCCAGGAGACTATGGTTCATGGGTGATGGCATTTTTTTTTCTTTAATTAAACCCTTTAAATTTTAAGTTTAATACTTAAGTGACCTTTTAGGCTTCAAATATATTACATTTCTTCATACCAGAATCAGTACTTGAACTCAAAAGGAACCAAATCACAGCTTTTCCCATCAAAATGCACTTAGATAAACAGATATTCAGTCATTATGTCTGAAACAATAAAACACAAAATAATTTATAAATCTAGTTTATATTATAAATATGTATATTATGTATTTGAAACAAGGTACAATAATCTACTTAGTTTCTCTAATTAGGCCAAATATTGA